ATGATGCTAGAGAATAATGCAGATTAATTATTCAAACCCAATCGATCGGCTGTTTATGTTTTGATTGGGCATAAGGAACAGAAGGGGCAGAGTAGATTAATGGGTATTGGGATATTCAGCCGTTATTGGTTATTTGCATTATTGATCAAAAGCAAGATTATACGTCTGATTGAAGCAGAATAAACTAATCATTAATCGACTCAATAATTCAGTGATCCTATTAAACGGGGAATATAACAGTTTAGAATGATAACAAGATTATCATCTGTTGTAAAAGACAAGTAACACAAGAACACCATTGAAATAACTGATGCATAGATCCATAATGAGTGATTTCTAAGAAAAACAAAATTGTACATTAGATTGTTCCAAGTGAAATGTAGCTATTCAACTGAAAGGATAAAACAAAAGTATTTAATTTATGTCATATACCGAAAAATAATACCTTGGTTTAAATCATAGCTACTTCTAACAGACTACTTATATTGTTGCAAACAATAAGCTAACTTAAAATTATGTAAAGAACAACTATATTACAACAAACAGTGGCTCCCAAATGCCCTGGTACGATCGAGAGTGGGGAGGGTCCGCTCCCCCTCTCCAAATGCTTTCACATGGAGACGCGTATATAGCCTCTGACAGGGAAGTCCTACGCACTGACCTCTAGTAGCGGAGGTGTTGTTTACGAAATTTAGAGGACCAAAAGCGAATGTCCGGTGCTTTGACCGGGTTGGTGGACATGGAGAGTTCATCTAGGGGAGTTGGAAAACCCTGATTCCAAACCAATGGTGCACATGGGCTCCAGGATCCTGAAGGGACAAATGGCGTATGAACCAATCGTTGGTCACCGGCTACCATGGGACTGCATCTCCTTACGTTGCTCCACTGCCTTGTGTATCTGACCTTCAGGTCGAAGGCTCGGGGTGTGGCCCCCTAAGACAACCACCTGCCTCGGTTTGGGCACCCGGGCAGTATCACAGCGCTCACAAATATCGAATGAGATTTGTGTGGCGCATATGTATTTGGTGCCTCTTTGTACCAATATCTATTTGTTAAAATAAAATAAATAAAGTGGCTAGAAAGGACTCATCATGAAGAATATTAACCTCGGATTCGAAATAGAACTGCGGATATATAGACGACAGTAATTCCCAGATATCAGCTATGGACATATCCAGTATATTGCATCTCGACGTAATAGATGAAAAACACAAATATAGTAAAAGTTTGAACTTTGAGTGGAATTTGTAATGAGAACTAAACACTTATAGGCAGAACTCATTCACTAAATGAACAGAGAAATGATCGAAGATGTGAGTACAAAACACTTAGTGAATAATGAAAACGTTGCAGTTAACTTTAGCCACCCTAATGGTATAGGAAACAAACTGTCTAGAATCAGAGTTTTCTTAAAGTTTAACTCACAGAGAATACTCCATCTGGAATCCCAGTGGTATTGAGACGCTTAGGGTCTGGAGAATTTGAATCACGATCACTATGATGTGAATCAACGGAATTTCTTATCTTCGGAGATTGTTGTGTGGTAGCGATCAGTTCACACTTGATTTCCTCATTATTGTCTTCAATTTTCAGCTTATTATGGAAACTAACCAGTGTTTTATCATTGAATTCGGGAAGATTAACGCTGATATTAGGTGGTATTATACTATTGCTTATTGTTACCTGGAAAAAGTAAAGTGTCATTTGATTATTCCATCCATAAATCAAATTCGTCAAACTAAGTTCGCCTTTGATACTGAGAAATTTATTACAATTCAAACATGTGACATAATCAAATAAGAACATAAACACGGCAAAAAGTGTACCAACACTAATATTAGTAATCTAAGAGAAGAAAAAAAGTATTAGCAGCCAGATACAAATATAACTTGAACGAAATCTAAACATAAACAAACCGCTTTACAAAAAAAACTGAAATAAAATCAAAGAACGAAAGATTGGTAATCATACATGATTTGAGATTTACGGAAGAATACACAATGAACATAAACACGAGTCATTGAAACCGATTTCAGACTATATCATCCATAACAACTACAACTGAAGATTACGACTACCAAGTGTATAATGATCAGCAATTATGTGCGCATACTAACATGGATCAGATTATCACCAGGGTCAATAGGTATTCAATGTAAAAATGAAGGGTTAGTTGTACAACAACTATTTTATTTAAGAAATCAGTCAGCCAGCTACAGAGTAGGATCAGGCACATATATGCATCGGTCCAAGTTGCCACACCTAATTAGCACAACAAAATGAACATTAAATCCATAGTTGTTGCTTCAATAGTAGTAATATATAAAAGAAAGATTGCATGTTAGAACATAATACAGAAAGAAAGAATTAGGTCGTAGAAAGAGAGGTATAAAGTAATTTTAATTTCACGGCTTAAAGTATAACAAATTGTACACACCTACACCATTGTGATCAATCCTGAGCCAGGTCATCAAGAGTCTCTGACGATTGGTTACGATAGTCGCGAGGACCCCAATCAAGCAGTCTGCATCTACCAACATGGCTCAGACCAGAAGTTAGTGACTTCAAGGACTGATGCCACGTTTCAGTTCGCAACAATCGTTTAGCCAGAATTAAATTCTTAAGACTGTAGCTGTGAAACAACTGTTGTTTTAAAGTGATTACTTATCAATTTATTTCCAATGGCAAAGATAAGAAATACACTGCAATTCTTAACACTAATCGTTCAGTGCTGGTATAAAAAAACTAACATGTGTGACGAATGCATTGGAAATTTACACTCAGCTGTGCAACTCATTTTGGAAGTGAAAATTTTCGTATTCGGCTTTGAATCACATTGCTTGTGTATGAGGAGCTAGCAATAATATCCAATTGCCAAGATCAAAATAACTGGAGCAATTCTTGAGTATAAGGTCGACTGTAGTTGAAAGCTGACCGCTTTAATGGTTAAGCTACCGCTGGACATAAAGATCAGTTCGTCTTCTGCGAAATTTACGGGAGCTATTGATAGTTTCATACAAGGGAAAGTAAACAATGGAACTTACTTCAACATCTTTAATTTCGATAAATCCTGAACGACGGGTGAAACGACCTTTTTTTGTAGTTGAAACTTCGTCACTATCTTCTTCATCTGGTTTCGATCTTTTCAAGACACGTTCATTTGATTTACAATTAGAATCAACTAGACCAGTTTCGTCAACAATACCAATTACTGATGATGATATTGATGATGCATCGATTTCTTGTGATGAGGAATCAACTGCAATTGGATTTTGTGGTAAATCTATGGGTCGGTGTTCACCTTTTTGATTTTTATATGGTATTAATCCACATTGTGCGATAATATCTGGCCATGCTTTTGCGACTGCATTAACCAATTGAACCAGAAGTGACTCTTCAAATTCAAATGGAAAATTACCATGTAAATGACCATCATAATTGTTCAGAAGTTCTTCTAAAAAATTCACATCTTCCTGAGCTTGATCATCACCCATATATGGTAGATTAGCTAATTCTGTTTCATCTTCAACAGAGAAATTATGTTGAACAGGAGCCCACATACAAACGGAAGGCACAGGATCAACCTATAAAAGTGGAAGAGTGGAAAGAGAATGACAACAAACACAGCAATTAAGTCAACATTTTTATGTATAGGTGAAAAACTGAAAAGAGAATTTGACACATACTGATCGTATTGAATTTACTCACCTGGGGCATCATTGTAATAGCAACACGATAAGATACACCACCGATTCGAGCCTCAAATTTGCCGAATTGACTATAGACATTAGGAATTTCTACCGGTTCAGCTAATAAAGGTGGATCGGCAGAATTGGAATTAGGCCACATTTCATCACAGGTGATAGATCGAGCTGCGAGATTAGCAGCATGAGCAGAATTCAGTTGCTCGCTTAACAAACGTCGGTTCTTAGACATCAATTCAAATACATGATTCCACTTGGATGTTAAATTAGCACACCGAATACGATTGTAGACCTCGCGGATCATTGTTTGTAAACGACGACGACGTTCACATGGATTGTAGTGCGGTCTATTTGAACTAGTTGGTCTTCGTCTCAGTGATTTCACACGGGTTCTGCGAGACTCGCATACAGGAACTATTTCATTTGGGCTGGATTTATTATTTTTACAATCACGATTTACATATGAAGATCGACGAACCATCTGTAAAGAAAACAAGTTTATCAACTGCCGTACATACAATCATACGAATGACTTGATTTAAGGTACAGAAATATAAACATCTACACTCTGGCAAAAAAAGACGATAGAGAACTAACTGAAGAGAATAACATAATGATAGGTTTCTCCACTTATTATATTTAACGTTTTCTGATCATCGAGATCCACATTCCACTAGTTGATGAACTTTGATCAACAACGAAAACTAGTTCCAATGTGAAAACATTACAGCTTATCTTCAGAAATACAACTCAACATTTACTCACATATTTGGGAGCATAGTATCCTCAAAGTTCGACCAATACAATTTAGTAACACACATATTAGATGCAAAAACTGCAACGGCTAGGAAAAATGGGCTGAGATCCATGAATGAAAGCGTCTAAACCTCGTAAGCATAATTGATTATTAATATCCATCGATCATATCCCAAATACCAATGCTGTAATATCCACAACTGCAAGTTGTAAATGTAACTTTCGTTGAGTCCAAATGCAAACAGTAAGACCAACTTATAGCACTCAAACTCAAACTATTAGGCCTAATGTTTGATTTCAGCCTCAGCTACTTAACACTGAACATACAGTAGTATCACTAGCCTCTTGTACCAATCAACTGTGCGATTTCATGCCACTTTCGAATTACATTAGAAAACAAAAAGTTCCTGACGAATAATGAAGTATGCCAAACTTTCATAATGAATATTCTCTTAACAATGGTAAAATGTAAGCGCATCCCAATAGATGGTAACAGTAAAATGTAAATTTAGGGTTTAAACATGGAAAAAGACACTTTCTCAAACCAAATACATATATTTTCCATTACAAATGATCGCTGTTTACATAGCTTCTCTTATTTGTGTGAAAGAAAATATTTAAAAGTAAAGTTTATTTTTAATGAATATACAGTAATGAAGTCAGTAGTAAGTGGAGCTCAATCTGTTCCATTTTACTTAGTTCGTACGACGTCGTTTGTTACGAATTTGTCTTCCATCCTAAAAAGGATTAACATAAATGTAATTAGCAATAAATTATGATAGATATTTGTCAAGAAAAGGTCTCTAAATGATTTGGTACTGCCGAAAGAGTATAGTCTGATCTCTTCTACCGAAATGCTTTCATCTAGACACACACATAACCAGTTCCAGGAAAATCTTACTACTCTCACGTGAAGATTTAATAAAAGTGGGGCAAGGGGAGACTTTCGACGTTTAATCCGAGTTGGTGGATATGTACAGTCTGGAAACCTTGGTCGCAATTCAATAATATATATGGATTGTAATGTCTCAAGGGAATCATTGGTCATCGGCTGCTACGGGATATCATACATTAATGATGCTTTACAACTTTGAGGATTAAATGATTACATAAGGATTCTGAGGGTCCCCAATATAACCATTTGTTCTCTTTTGAATGTCTGGGAAATATTACAGCGCTCAGGTAATAAATGGTAGTTATGAGTGAAGATAATCGGACTATTATACTTCCAGTAAAAATAACTTGGTATTTATTTTTATCTCAAAGTTAACATTAAAGTCGAATTAAGAAATTAAATAACCAGATCTTAGCATTTATAAATTTCTCTTTACACGTAAGTTATTGTCTCCAACCACCACATTAATGATCAAAATGCGAAAGTATTATTGTTTTCATGAATTATTAGCAGGTAAGTAAAAAAGTGGTTATTATCAATGTATATTGGCCACACCATCCTGAATGAATTTCAACTACGGCAGTTAATGTACCCAATTATATATACTTATCATTTTAGGTAATTCTGACTAAAATTACTACAATCTCCACAAACCCCCATTCTGATGACAATCATCATGTGCTCACTAGTGACTGGCTTCAAGATAGATTTCCTGGAGTTCTAATGAGAAGCCGTGACCAGTAGAGTTCGATTCGTGTCGGGTATCTACCTGAGAGAATGAATGAACTGTTACGCAGCTGTTCATGGATCGATGGAATTTAAACATTAACACCGTTGGATGCCGGCTCAGTGGTTCAAAAGTTAAGTGTTTGCGTGAGAACAAAGATCCTGGGTTGCGCACTGCTGAAGAAACCCATACCATAGCAAAACGGCCGTTCAGTGCTCCCAGGTTTTCAATGGTGGTTTAATATTGAACCATTCATGATCCCAATCAAAATTCTGACTAAAACAATTCACATATTGTTTACATCTAAACTTTTTTCAGCCTCCTTTGTATTCCTCGCAATACAGTTAATATTAATAATTCAAACGTGTAGCTTATAACTATTTCTTGGGTAAACACTCATGATCGATGTGATTTGGAATTGTAGATGGATAGCACAGACAGAAAAAAGAGATTATTATATTTAAAGTTATCATCGTTATGAGTCAGTAATGAGTTAACGTTATCAGCCTGGCTCTTTTAGTAAAGATAATATTATCAGATTACTACCAATTTTTAAAATTGGTTTAGAAATGAAATGCTTACTTTTGAAACGGCAAAAATTGCATAAAACTTCCTAGTATTTAATTACTCATTGACTTACCTATCGAATTTCCAAATATTTCGCAAGAATGATGATATAACATATTCATCAAGTAAGGGTCTATGGACCAAGCGATTTAGCTTACACTGGTAATACTACTCGGCTGCCTAAACCAAAGGTGCGGTGGTGACCCAATGACTAAGGGGTTCAACTTTCAGACAGTAAATCACAGGTTCAAAACTCGCTTTAGCTGCTTTGGTCTAAGTATCCACGTAGTATTACTAGCCCATAAAGTATGATTTAAAGCCCAATACGCAAATCAGTACCTGTTGAACTACAAAATATTCAAAGTAGATGAGGTGGGATTCAAACCTGTGATCTACTGGCTAAAAGTTGTACTTTGACTGTTAAGCCACAGTCAGTTAGTCAGTCAGCTACAACGTAGGACCAGGCACAAATATGCATCGGTCCGAGTTGTCATACCGCATTAGCACAGCACGATGAACTCCGAATTCATAGGAGTAGTTAAGTCAATGGTGGCAATACATAAAAGAAAGATTGCATATAAGGATATAGTACAGGAAGAAAAATTTAGTACGTAGAAAGAAAGGTATAAAGTAATTTTAATTTCACGGTTTAAAGGAAGACAAAGAGTGTATACACTTACACCATTGTGATCGATTCTGAGACATGTCATCCACAGTCTCCAACCATTAATTACGATAGTCACGCGGACCCCAACCAAGTAGTTTGCATCTACCAACATGGCTCAGACCAGATGCTAGTGTCTTCAACTACTGATGCCACGTTTTGGTTTGGCCGCCCCTAACTTTCTTCTAACCATCCCCAACACCGGTTAGCATTGAACGTCGTGGTAATCGGTGTTCAGGCATACGCAACACGTGACTGCCGCTTCCTATGACAGGAAGTGAGCAGCTTATTCCTGATGGATATTCTAAAAACCATTCCCATAATGATAAGGCGATTGATGTGTAAAGGTTTTACAGAAAGTATCATTTTCTCGAGCATTTATTATAGGAGATTTAGCAAACAAAAATGGTCAAATCCTTCAACAAATATTGAAAACGAAACTATCCTCTCACTAATTATTAAGTCGACTTTTTTCTATTATGAGATTCAATAGTCATCCATATATAAAATATTATCGGTAAAATTTATTTACACTTTGTCAAAACTAGGGGATAAAATTTCATTTTGAAGGAAACAACAGTTTTCATACAATAAGACTGGCAAATTTTAGTTACAAAGGAAGTCAATGACAGTTATGCGTAGATGTCCCCGAATGCCCTGGTACGACCAACGGTGGGGAGAGTTTATGCTCCCTCTCGAAATGCTCTCATATTTTCACACGTATATAGCCACTGCTAAGGTAATCCTACTCACTGCTTTCTCGTGGACGGTGTTGATTACGAGATGGAGAGGATGAAAAGTAAATATCTGGGGTTTGAACCGGATTGATGGGTACAGAGCATCTACCTAGAGGAGTCGAGAAACCCTGATTCCAAACTAAAGTTCAAGGATCCTGAGGGAACAAACGGTGTGTGAACATATTGTAGGTCACTAGCTATCATGGGACCGCATCTCCCAACGTCGCTCCACTGCTTTGTGAATTAGACCCATAGGTCAAATGTTCGGGGAGTGGTCTACAAAGAAAACCACCAGCTTCGGTTTGGATACACGGGCTGTATCTCAGCCCACACAAATTTAATAAGCTGTGTTTAAATAACAAATAATAAAAGCGGATGAAATCAACTTACACTGCGTCCTCCACGTCGTTTCTGAGCTTTCTGTTGCTGAGCTGCCAGGATCACTTTCCACTGATTCTTCTCTTCGTCACCTTCCAAAACAAAAACAGTCTATTAAAAATTTTCCAGCATAGTGAAGTAAACTAGATAGCTTAGAAAACTAATTTGCTGTGCTACGAAATTATATTTGCCAGTTTATTTGGATTTACTGTACTATAACTTGTCTTTTTTAGTTGGTAAACAATAGCTATATGAAATTTTAATGTGCTCCGTTCGAGCTGATCACATCTTCAATATAGTCGTTATTATGAGTTTATGGGTCATTTTATTTACACAATCTCTCGCAAAAGATCATCTACGTAATATGGTAATTACTGAAATCCGCATAAATTGTTTGATTTTTTTAGTTTGACGAACATCAGTAGATTAATAACAAATCAAATGACGTGGAAAATGTATATAAACTGATTTTATATGATGTAATATCTAGCAAATTTCGGGTGCTCATTAGTGGCAAGACAAATTCACTCCATTCCATAAGTTAACTACTTATGAGTGAAATATGCAGTTCACAGTATGAATAAAGGTATTAATTTTATGGACAATTACCAGTAATTACGCGACCTGATAATTCACTGTTTAAATAAGTAACAGGACTATCGCCAAATGCTTCTTTTAATTTAGCCCATGCTTTTTCTGCTGTATCAGGTTGCTTGAATCGTATTACAGCTTTTCCCTCAGATGGTTCGATATCAATCCATCCCACAGGAGTACTTGAGTCAAGCTGTGAAAATATCCAAAAAGATAAATAAATATGAATCAAACAAAGCATAATAAACAGTATCACTTGTATATCCTAAGTTCCCTTCGAGAAAAAGTCCAAAGAACTTGACTTAATTTCGTAACAGCAGTCTTTTAAGCAAACAAAATAACGAATTTTCATCACATAACAAAATGTTCGCCATATTACCTTACCTTTTCGTTTAACCACTGTTTTAAGTTCATAACTGTTGGTGCTTCTGAGTCTTTACTGTCATTCACTGACGACTCTTTTGATTTCTCAGCTGTAGCGTCTTCCCCTTCAACTGCATCATTTTCTAGAAAGTGAAGAGTTGTGTGAAGATAGAAAAAACAGAAAACAGCAAATATCAACATTCTATTCAGAATGATAATTAGTTCCATTGAAATATTACAGAAAAACTAACAACCCAAATGACTTTTTTCCCTACCATAGAAGTGATATCAGTGGCCAACCAAGCCGAACACTTCCATTCATGCTTGAAGTTTGTGCTGAGTAAGACTGTACAAAAAAACAACTTTGTACGATAGGGCACCGAAAGCCCATCGTAAAAGTAGAGTTACAACATTATGAAGAGATAAAAAGTGGGACAGTCATATCATCAATAGACAAATAAAAAAGAATAATTACTAAGACATGGATAAATTTTAAAAAATACAACCAAGATAGATTCTATCCTGTCAAAAAGTTCCATTCCATCACAGTCGGATTATCACATTTTAATTATAAAGTAAATCTGCTAAAGTCATAAGCATAAAATTTGCATGATTACTAAGATCCCAAACAACGAAGTCGTGATGGAGAAGACACAAATCTTATGAAAATTTCTTTCATCCCACGACACTATCATGTACTAACAACTATCAAGCTATTCCACAGTCAAATAATACGCAATGTGGAGAATGCTTGGACTATATCTGTAACATATATTTAAATCACTGAAGCCTGTATTTCGTGGTACAAATTAAATCAACAGGTCACATGTTTTTCAAGACCTCTGTACTCTCATGTAACTTATATATCAAGTACACGTTTATGGATTCAGCATTGAAACCTCCAGTATTAGCTAATGATATCCAACTCCTCAAACCAAAGCAGACAAAAAAGTTCCCAAACGGGACGAAACGCACATTCCGGGTTTCAATACCAGCCACTATATATCACTGCTTAGAAACGCTTTTAACTTAGTCGAAGTACCAAAGCAATCCGAACAGGAGGCACATATGCAAAAGAGACTGATGAATCGCAGTCCTAAACATCAGTGGGAAGATTCAAATGACCAACACATATAACCGACACACTATGTACTGAGTACACTATATAACAGTTAAGTATTTTCTGAGAGCCCGAGTGATGATTTGAATTGTACTCAACTTATTTCGTCAACTAGCCGTTTGTGTGCACATTATGCAAGCTCGATCGCCTTTATATATAGTTTTTGTACATCAGTCGTATTCACTGAGAGTTTTCAAACTTCTGAAATACTTATTTCTGTTTACCAAGTATATTAATTTTGACTAGTAACAACGATACCTTGATTCTGATATTTTTGCTACCAATCCTGACTAGATTCGCATCCACGTACAACGAATTCTCTAAGATGAGCCATAAGCATTAGATTGAACAACCAGGTACTAAGGAATTTACGAAAATTCGGTACTTTTCCGAAATAGTGAAAATATTTCTGCTTTTTTATCCCTCTCCAGGAACCTAGGATTCCAAAATCTGATCCGACACTGTCAGTTTTCTTGGTTTTTACAAACATTTAAGAGATACAATCGGTTATGTAGCATTTGCTGATGAGTTATATTGTTTTGGTAAAGTTGGACAAACAGATATTTACTTTTTGTGGCTTCTGGGAGACCAACGATTTCAAGTAATGCTCCACGAATCATTCGAGAATTAACTTGAGCTTCCTGGTTAGCTTCAAGTGCAGCTTTCTTTTTGGCTTGTGAAGCAACTTTAGCCTTGTTTTCTTCTTCTTTGCGTTTCCAATAATCGATTCTAAAATTGAATTTTGAGTATTAACATACTACCAAAAGTATTTGGTCGTATTTACTATCATAAAATGCAGTGCAATTTCAAGTTTTTAGGTTAGAAATTAATCGGTAAGTGAACTTATTTTGACTATACGAACTAAATAATCTGAATGCATCGAGTTACTACAGATTAAGATAGAGCATTACAATCACCCAAAATTTGCACTCATACTGAAGTTTGTAGGAAATAACTTCGGAGTTTATAATGGATTCTGAACATTGCATGGGTACCAACCATCAGTCTTCTGCATATTTCAACGAGAAACGAGTTCTCTACGCAGCTTGGATTACTAAGACAATGCAACTAATTTAATAAGTATAACCATGTATCACACTTTGAGCTACACTTTAAATGTAATAACCAGCGATACAATCCAGTTGTCTCAACCGGATTATACAGATTGCTGACCAAATTACAGGTTACTTAGGTCTGCTTACTTTTGATTTTATTATTCCACTATTCCATAGTTAATCGTAATTTCAACTGGTTTTATTGGATGTTAATTCATCAACTGTGAACTACACTACTTATGCGATACCAGATAAAATTTCAGTTACTTGATTACTCAATTGTGATTAACCCGTGGTTTAAGTTTTGCCAGGTGGCTACTGATGATAACAAATGATAGCACAATAAGGTATCATGAAACTGGATACTTAACATTTTCGTCTGCTTAGTTGAGGTTGAAAACAGCTTTACTTTTTCAGTCACAGTTGTGTACGCTTCCTCGGAAACTGGGATTTGAACTGTCAAACAGTGTCATGAGATTCCAACCTATGGGATAGGTGTGTGAACTTCAGTAAATAGACTAAAGTGTTATGTGCAGATTTAAGACGTTAGTTTACGTTTTTATCCGTCGATAGAAAGTCTAATGGAGAAAGTCTGGGACCTGATCTTAAATAGAACATATTGTCTCTACTTTTTGATACCCTGGCAGATATCGTAATTAAGTCTGCACAATTACCTATCGGTTAAGGTTGCTAGCGGTAAACATTGAGCATAATTAGGAAAATGGTTATAATTCATGAAGGAGATGTGACAGGTACTAGTATTAAATACACTCTTAATGCCATCAAATGTTTGCTACTTTGATATCAATCGGTAATTAATGCTCAGCGATACTGCTACCTGGACTGAACTTTAGATAGCTGAGACATGTAACATGACTATAAAACTGTTAAATATTGTATCTGGCAGGAAGATATAAGTAGGCTCTTTTACCTGATAGTGGACAGTCGTTTATGTATAAGAAATCGAATCAAACTACTTCAAGTATTTCCAAACCATTTAAACTTACTGGGTTGAACGAACCATAGCTTTTTCTTTGAAAGTAGCAGCCTCTGGTGAAGCCAGGAACTTTTCAGAATCCTCCTTCTTCTCAAAAATAGCGAATATGCTTCCCTGTTACATGTATATTAAGACAGGAATTGAGAATACCCTAAACTTTTTGTCTCGTGGAAATCTGCGCATATGCACATCAAGGGTTTTGCCACCGTGTTTTTCAAGCCATTCAATAATTTCGTCCAATTTTTCGTCAGGAGAGAAGCCTTTAACATAGACACCATTTTCTTTATAGCTGTTAAGAGCTGTCTCAAATGTTTCAGGAACTTTCATTTCAGGATTTCTTCGAAGACCTTTTTCGCCTACTTCAATCAACCCGGACTGTGACTTGGATACTGACTTCTTTATGAACTCAACATCCTCTGACAAAGACTTTAGACGGTTAAATTTAATCATTGTCTCCATAGGAATCCCTGAAAACATGAAATTATGATTTAACTCAAATATAAATCTTACATCCATCATTCTCTTTAACAGCCTCTTTCATGAACTTATCGCGTGACAAATTTACATCTCCAAAGTAATACTAAAGAAACTCAAGAAAAAAGAATTGGCATGAGCTACCTCAACTTGTCTAATTATTCTGGACTCTAAAGGCGTGATCTCAACCATTTTCAAAAAAACCACACTGAACTAGACGAGTAGAACAAACGTTCAAAATTGAAATTTCAGAGGTTGATATAATTCCAGATAAATAGTAAGCTAGAAGTTCCGTCTTATGAATAGACAATAATAGGTCTACCACGTAAAATCTTATCGATTAGGCAGCCACTTCATGACAAATCTACAATTTTGGGATTGGGTCTCTTATTATGATAGTATTAAGAGCGAACTAGGCTATAATTCTACAAATGGACAGTTAGCCTATCTATACAGGGCTTTCTGAGTTGTTAGCCCTTGTCTTTCCATCTCCGATTCGCTTTCGTGCTTGATCACGGCGTCATGTGACCTATTCAGCGTCTATTGGCACGAAATGTTTCGACAGCTGCAGCCGCCATATTGGGGGATGTTCAGGTTATCTTCATCAGCCGCTGTCTAGGATCCTCGTCCTTTCGATAGAGTTTTGTCCTCTGAGCACGACCAAACCATCCAGCTCAGAGAACAAAACTCCGTCAAAATCATCCACCTGAGCTACAAATCTCCACCATGCCCGTCCTTCTTGGCTAGTCTCACCACTTGTTGAGCCAATAAGCTTTTGAGCTTCAAGGACTGGTTGATGATTTCTCGCTACCAAATATCAGTGACTCTGTTGTCAAGCTCTGTGCTTTCTAACACACATTACACAATGATATTTCTTCAGCGATAAACTGTCTCGTGAGATTCCTCAGAAATGTTCCTGATGAGATTGCACTCAGAATACACCATACCAGGCAGTATTCTTACATTTCAGTGAGTGACTAGCTAGTAGAACACTCTCTACGGCGTTAGAGTTGGTGAGTGTTACACGAATTAGTCTTGGATGATTTCGATGCCTAGAGTCATTTCCCCGACTGAGCCATGTGACAGTCAAAGGCTCTATTTTGGGAATTTCGAGCTTCTTGTTTAACTCCTCCCAGAGCATTCTATCATTTTCATTCTGCAAAATGAGGGGAGCTCAGGGCCGTCTTTAAGGTTCATGATTATGTGAGAATCATTACGAACCGTGACTGTTTCCCAGGTTTTCGGGTACGTTCAGGTTGAGGACCTCTTTGTTTGGTAGTTCAAATACGTTTGGGATACTCGTTCTCCTTGATAACTGGTTGGAAAATCTTAGGGGTAGATTGTACGGCCAAATCACTAGTTAATTTCACTACAAAGCCTGGAATGCTCTGCCACTTAGATAATGAAACTCACTCCGTTTTAGCTTTGCTGACACGATTCCAATCGGCTACAGAGTTTTTGGGTACAACTACATTTAGGGCTCCTGTGCTTGGAGACCCACGTTTGTTGAAAAAGTCTGGTGCCGTCGATGTTATGATGTTGCTGAGCTCCAGCGTATCCTCACTAATGTCGATGCATGTTCCGTCAACGCTAACATTGTAGAGACTCCTCTTCTTTTCATTACCGCGCTACATTTGATTACCAGTTTTAGAACCTTTTTTCAGTTTCGCTAACACATTTTTCCGCAGACCTGTCAAGAGAATGATGTTGTTGCTTACCGAACCCTTAGCATTCATACTGCACGTGCTATATATCCACGTACGATCCGGCATACCAAGCCTGTTGTAAGCAGTTACTGTAAGGTTTGTGCATACTTCTTGGAACCAACCTTTTATAACTTCCTCATTCGAGATACAGAATGTTTGCAAAGGACTTTATACGAGCTCCTTCGTGCTTTATCTTGAATTAATGTCCTATGATATGTAGTTTATTGGTGAAACTTATTTTATATGATAGGGTGGAGGGAATAAGAGCATAAAGATTTTACCTATTTTCAGAGTTAGATAGTGCTTTTGATCGTAGCAAGTTTACGACCAAAGGATCCCCCTTCCAATCAAATCAGATGTCAGAAATGAAGGAGATCAAAAATATAATTGGGAGACAGTTGGTACATCAAGAATGATATGATTTAAGCTGATTGGTTGCTACGAGAGTTGCGCATCATTGCGTATTCAATGGTGACCACGTGCGGAATAGTGACCGAGTGCCTTTAGCCAGGGTTTGTCTAACAGAAATAATTAGGCCAGCATCAATTTCAAAGACTTTCAGAACTATTTATTTCGAGTAGATCTTGTTGATTGCGCATACTAGTAGGAAATGCCAAAAGTGCTACAAAGAGTAACGCCGATGTCATTTGAGTGGTGAATAGTAAAACACTGGAATCGCCTAGAAAGTAGGAAGTGGGATAGTGCATTGCTGCTGTTCACCAGCAGCACTCGGCATTTACTGGTATTCTGGGAATGGTGGTTTTTGATGGTCAGTCGAATAACATATATCCTCTTAGGGAGACAAGATATAAGCTGAACTAACAATATACTATTCTGTATCAAAATATCATATGCAAAAGGTAGGATTTGAGAGTCTAAGGAGTTAGGTAGGTCACCAGTGAAATATCAAACGACGCTATGTCCAAGCGCAAGTTAGTAAATATGTACAAGCATTGAGCCCTGTGACTCTTGGCTTTTCGTTAAAACTGGCCAGACAGCAGTGCAAAGTCTGACAGCTAGAAATCTCCCGTCTAGGTATTCAAAAAGTTACATTATTAAACTCCAATTTATGCCCGTAAAATTTAGGTTCTCAGACCTATTGAAATAGTTAATACTACACAATGTCTTGGAGGATTTTGGACAGCCAATACGAACCGGATGGTTGTGTACCAGAGAGATTGTTCACCTATTCCAGGTAGTCAACAGGCCTGTGTTATGGGTATAAAGTCATGTTGAGATATTAGAAAAATGGATTTCATGTGGAGGTACTTACAGAGAGATGCGTAGCAGAGTGAGAACAAATGAGTTGGGATTCGTTAACCAGGAAATTAGCGACCGAGCTATGGAAGGTGTCGAAAAATCTTGATCAAAGATGTTCGACATGGTGTGTACACAACTCCTCATGAAACTGTATCGATACGTGTGGCTACTTTACATAGACTTAGAAAGACGAAACTGATGAGTTATTTTATCCCACTCGATTCTCTGGATACATGTATTACATACTCTTGATATATCTTCAGGTTAAATACTTCCCATAAGAGGACGTTCAAAGGGATTTTGCGTATGACTGCCATATAGAAGTGTAGCCATTGGCTAACTAGAAGGTTTCTTGAGAAGATACCGCTGTTTGAGTATGTTCGCTCAATCAGGATAGTTTTTCATGGTATCTTCTGACGGTATCATGATTAGATTTGCTAGAGCTTTGTATTGGGTAAATTCATCAGAAAAATATGTTATAGAGAAAAACATTAGTATGACCCAGGTAGTTCATTATTATTAGATTAGTGACATCCGACTTACGTTTGGCAAAAATGAAATCCAGACCAGAGGTGTATCTGTTTGTTTCCCAGACGGTCCGCTGAGCCATATTTTCCTACAGACTAGCTTTTCCATTAAGCCCCTAACACCAGTAGTCAATTTTGATCTATTTTCTATGGAGAAGCGATCAGGAACCCTAAATTCATTCATTAACAATATCTGGAGAAAATTCATTTCTAGAGTACTTCTTATTGTTTGAAGAAAATAACTGTTTGGGCAAGTGAAGGCTTCAGTTAGTCTATACGGGACACCTAACAGACAAAAACCACAAGTATTCTTCACAACGCGCCGCAAGGCAGTTCATTGGGGACTGAGGGAAGAGGATACGTAGGGCGCGACTCCGTTAACCAATGTCCTATGTATCATTACGTAGCGTTTGGAAATCATTAGGGGAAAGTTCACAGCAAATGATATAATTGGTAAGCTGAGCCTCAAAGAAAGCCCCTATATTAAGAGGCTTTCACCTACTTGCTCACCGATCATGATAATTTTCAATCGTAACCGCGTTACACTAACCTATAGGCAATTGATAATAGAGTGATAATCTTTGACTTAGACGGATACGAATTGAGTCGTATTGCCGACTACCAGGTCAGACCAGCGGTTTGGCTTCTCCGGGTGTTGTGGGATGTTCAGGTTGGACTAATAAATCTGAATTGCCACACCTAAGCTTAAATCATTATACTTAGTTAAATATAATTCCCAATGCCCAATTTATTCGAAGTTATCAAATCAAACCTTGGTAATGATATCTATAAACATAAGTCCATGTTGAGTTCATAGATACTTAGTTGCTAGATGATCAACAGTGGGGAGGTTTAAAAACCTCGTCTTAGGATTCCATTAATTTGTTTTATAAGCCTTGATGTACGTCCACAAATCTTGATGCCTATTGAAATATGAGAGTTATGATATCATGATTCAAGTGCAGCTGTCTTCATACAAGGAGAGCCCGCAGCAGCAGAGAATGGGTGGTTATGATTCAGCCAACAACCTGCAGTTAGAATCGAAACATTACAGCTAAAAGTCAGAGTTCTTTACTTCATTATTTTCGTAGCCCGTAGTGGCATCTGTTGCTAAATCACGATCTTTGAAGTCGAGCATATAATTACCAGGAATATTTGTATTCAACATGTAACACCTAGGGAGGGTCGTAGATGGTGAACACGGGGACACTCGGTCGGCATAGCATGGCTCATCCATGCAGATGTGGTCATCTGTGTAACAAATTCCTATTCTTATTAAAATATATTATTCTATCCCCAGCCAAAATGTGTTCTTCCTAAGCGCTAAATATCGTACTGTTGGCTGTTACTATACGACAGGTTAGTAAAGATAACGGTGTGGCTTCCACGTAATAACTTGCAGGTTAGATAATCATATCATGACAAATCTACAATTTCGAGACTATTCTTATCACTTTTGTGGCCAAGACAAGTGTACTAATACCGAAGAAGGTCATAGGTACACAGTGGTAAGACAGAATAAAGAAACAGTTCGTTTTAAACTCTAGTATTTACTTCAACGTGATAGATTGGTTTCTACTTATGTTAACCCGTTATCCTTCTAGTCTTTTGATTATTGCTTATGTGTAATGTAATGCGGTATTATTAAGTACTCGTGGTCAGTTTGCATGCTCAATCGAAATTAATAAGTGATCAACTATATTTATGATTAGCTATTACTATTCATAAACAGAATTTAGTATCATTCAAAC